ATCAGGTAAACGACACGTGTACTGAAAATTTTATTTCATAAAATATTCATTGAAATGATTGCTGCTGGACCCCGAAGTCTTCACCACCCAGGAGCTGAAGGAAGAAAGTAAAGGTTTATCATTCCTATTGTTCAACATTACGGATAATTAAGTTTCAATGAATCATATTTGTTCTTGTGAATGATTAAATTGAAAACTACTTATTAATCAGTCAATCAGCACTTGAACATCCTTGTTTAGTTAAGCACTCTATGTGCTGCAATACTTACCGTACCTACCCGGCCCATATGGACCCGGTCCATACAGAGCCGGATCCGCATACCGACCCGGCCCATACGGACCTAGGCCAGCGCCAAGTCCAGCCTGGGCGCCCAATCCGGCACCAATTCCAATGGTTGGATAACCATTGGCAAGGGCCACCATCACGGCCAGCACCGCCAATACTGACAGACAACGCTGGACAAAGAAAAAACAACTCCCTTATGATATTATCATAAAATAATTACTCTCATCTTTACAAATTAACGATAAGTGCTCGAAATATAATTTACAAAATAACACACGTAGTAGTTGTTCACTTTACCATGGTTGTAGAAGTTGTGAGGTTGAGGAGTGAAGCCAGAGTGATGTCGAGTGTCGGTGTGCAGGACCTTATATAGAACCGGCGGCTCCTCCTCCTCACGCTAACCTTCACCAGCCCACCTTCCCAACAGCGTCTTGGGTCACAATTGTTATTACAATTAGTGGAGAAACTTACAACACTCCCGTAGTATATGAATGAAGGTGAAGGAAAGACCAATTACAAGTGCATGTTTAATATCAAACCAAATTTTTGGATGAAACCTATAAACATTGTCCAGTTGCTTTTAAACCATGTTGGAACATTGTTTAACCCCCACCTCGATAAAAGATGTTAGTTTCATCCGTCGAATTGGTTTAATTTTAAATTTACACTTGTTTTGGTCTTTCCTTCAGCGTCATTATTAATAATGTTTTCACGGGGGAATTAGAGATCAGCGATATACTGCTTATCAAACAGTTTTATAATACTCAACAACCAGCTCACACTTGGGAACATTCTACAACCCTCAAGACTGACGGAGAACTTCCAGCTCATACTGCCCCAGCTGTCATCGAGTGGGTAAAACCTAACTTCACTTCATCCTGCTTGTTAATCTGTTCCTCCAGCTAACTTGTTTTCACTTACCCTTTGCCTCCTAAGCTGTTGACAAGCTAAACAAACCCCATGACTTTATGTCAGGTCAGAGAAAATTGTAAAATGAATAGTGGAGAGATAATTATATATGGATGATCATCAGGATTGGCAGAGTTAAGGGGACACGGTAATGGGATTTTCTGTTCTGTTGGACATCCAGCCGTGGTAAGGTTCTTCTTAGTGATGTCATTGACTTCACCGTTTCTCGAGTGCCAGCCTCCCTTGTCAGGGCAGGCCAAGCAGACCTCGTCTGTCAGTCACCTCCTGATCGTAAATTCAACTTTATTCGGTGTGGGTTGGGACGGCAAGTCTGAGAGCCGGCGCAGTTTGGAGGACCTGCTACGGGAATGACTGACACTTGCTGACGTGGAGGCTGCTAATAGGAAGACGCATAGAGGGACTTCCATGTTTTACAATGGTGATGTGATGTTAGTGTAGCATCTTGCAACATTGCAGGTGTTCGGTGAGCAATGAGTCGGTCCCAGGTGGAATGCCTTTGAGCTTTATTCGGAGTGCTGGAGCTGTGAGAGAAACCCACTTAGTGGTGCATTGAATACAATTAGGATCGTGTACCCCTTCCAATTGGCCTTGTAATCCGGTTGGATTTCCTTCACCAGGGTGTCAAATGCTGCCGAGGAGGACAGGAATGTTGGCACAGACATCTAGGTTGCTGTGCGAACTCGAGGCTCCCAAGTCAGAGGGAAGGGAAGCATGTTTCCACTGTGAGTCATTGAAAGAAAGGTTAAAGGTTTTTCTAACTAATTTTTGTAGGTGGTTGTATATATCTTGTTTGAGGTTATTGTAGGATCACGAACACTTTAGAAAGTGAGTTAAATTTATTGGTTGAGGAGGGGGGGGGGGGGGGAATTATGTGATGATGAGGTAAAGTGCCCATTCTGTGTCCAGATGAGTGTAAAGTGATGTTGCTTTGCAGTAGCCAAATTAAATCGCATACAATTTTGTATCAGTCATATATAATCGGTCATATATCTACGTTAGTTTTAACTAAAATTAAACAAATATTAGCTCATACATAATGAAATTAATAGATTTATCATTTCATAAGAAAAAAATATAGAAAAATATTGAAATTCTGGAAAACTTGGCTTAACGCAAATCAGGCCTTGCATAGTAGGCCAAGAACTGCGTTCTGGCTACTAGGAACAACATATATATATATATATATATATATATATATATATATATATATATATATATATATATATATATATATATATATATATAATAGGGGTGGTAGGAGAGGAAAAGATTAAAGTGTTCATTGAGAATCCACAAGGTCTTCTCTGAACAACACTATTTATTTTCTTCTTCGAGGATGTGGGTCCCTTTAATTAAACCAGTGGTGGTACCCCTAAATATATATATATATATATATATATATATATATACATATATATATATATATATATATATATATATATATATATATATATATATATATATATACATTTTATAAAGGAAGGGAGTACCACCTCTAGCTGGAAGAAGGGGGACCCATAGCCTCGGAGGAAACCACGCATAACGCATTAGAGGGAATGTTTAGATCCCCTCCAATACAGTTTCTGTGTGCTTTTCTCCTACCACCCCCCCCTTCATATATATATATTATATATATATATATATATATATATATATATATATATATATATATATATATATATATATATATATATATATATATGTTGTACCTAGGTTTAGGTTAGGGGTAGCTTGGTGGTTTCTTCCTTTCAATGATCTTTTTGACATATCTGTTAGAGAATCCATCATTGACTAGGACTTGCCTTACTCTACTGACTTTCTCGTCAACCTGCTTCCCACTGCCGCTGTGTGTGAGAGCACAGTTGACAGACGTCAACAACACTTCACTTGTATCAGTGAGGACACTCACTACTAGCATTAAAGCACATCACTATATTAGTTTCCTTACTGTTTACTACAGTGTGAAAGCAACCATTCATGTCCGAGACTGTTACATCTCTGAACGGCGGCTTACATTTACTCTCCATCTCGTAAGTGAAACTTAGCACTGAACTTCGCTCAATGCATCCTTAAGTTGTAGCAATTGTTCAATATCAGATACCTGGAGGAATATGCCATGAACATACGTACAATAGACTTCAGATTTTTTAACCTTGACAATAAGGACTTTCTGTTCGACAGTACTCGTGTAATTTGCAAATAAAACACGAAGGGGACGAACTCATAGCGACGCCATCTGCTTATATATAAATGCGACTATCAGAGCTCAGGAAAATGATGTCAAGCTCTAGTATGTCAAGGAGAGTACAAACTGGATCCCTATAAACTGTCAATTCTCATTCCAATAGCCTCATCCTATGGCACATTCGTTAACAGCCTCTCAACATCCAGAGATGCCCTCACCTTCAATACCTGCCGCACCCGCAATAAGTCGATAAAAAAAAAAATCTAGACTTAAGGTTAAAATAAAGCGGCACGCATAGAATTAGCAGAGTTGAGTCACTTAGCCAGTCAATACGTGGGTGCATGTAAGTGACTAATTATCACGAAGTGGGTTTCCAGGTTTGTGACTGTCAAGCTGTTCGAATTAATGTGTAATATTCCATATTTTACATATTTGCTGCAGTCAGAAGAATCATCCACCAAAAGTGATAATCTTGCAGCGCGTCCAAATAATTGGTAACGTGTTTTGTATTATTTTGATCAATTAAGAAGGTAAGGTTGTTGCCCTTAGATTTGCCGAGATTATTCCTTTTATGTTTGTTTTTTAAATTGTTATTTAAATTAAAGAATTAATTAATAGGGTTTCGTTTGGCCAATTGTTTCTCTATAAAACTGACCGGTGCTTCTTTTATGCTTGTGGTCGATCTATACGTTTAAAATGTTTGTGTACATAAGATAATTGCTGACAATAAATAAATATAGACGTTTCTTGCCTGAAACACTGCATATTAGTAACTTTGGGCATAGTGTGTGCAAGCTCTATTTAGAAATCCAACATTCTGCTTGTAACTCATTTTATATGTACGTACTTTTACCTAAATAGACATTATTATTGAGAAAATCCGTAGGAGCAGTGATGAGGGTTCGATTCTATGCGGTTGGTGCTCACACGTGCTAACGACTAGACCAGTACATGGTATAGTTCTTGTGGGTTCAGTAGAACTCCAGGTTTTAATCCTTATTACCATACCGGGGTCTAGGTGCTAGAGCGTGTGCGTGGGAACATCCACCACATAGGTACGAACCATCATCACGGCTCCTACTGATTTTCTCATAGAAGCAGTCACTTTAGCGTGATTACTCTGTATTATTATTATTATTATTATTATTATTATTATATTATTATTATTATTATTATTATTATTATTATTATTATTATTATTATTATTATTATTATTATTATTATTTATGTAAGACGTTACTCCTAGCCTACTGAAAAATTTATAAAATGGAAGCAACATTACCAGCGACGCAGTTCAAATGCAGCTGAATCAGTGGATGGAGTACCTTACGGATTAGCAAGCCCCAGTTAAGCATTATAGATTCGTTGGCCTGGAAATCCAGCAGTATAATTTGAATGGGAGCACGATTAAACCAGTCAGGCTCATATCAGGGATGATATGCCAATTACGTTTCTACAGGGTGGATTATACAGCTAGAAGATACAAAACTAATTCATCCTTATCCTCATCACCACAACATGCAAGTCTTTATACTGTGGAAAATAGATGTATGTAACGATAAGGTAATACGGTAAGGCTGTTATCAGGTAAACGACACGTGTACTGAAAATTTTATTTCATAAAATATTCATTGAAATGATTGCTGCTGGACCCCGAAGTCTTCACCACCCAGGAGCTGAAGGAAGAAAGTAAAGGTTTATCATTCCTATTATTCAACATTACGGATAATTAAGTTTCAATGAATCATATTTGTTCTTGTGAATGATTAAATTGAAAACTACTTATTAATAAGTCAATCAGCACTTGAACATCCTTGTTTAGTTAAGCACTCCATGTGCTGCAATACTTACCGTACCTACCCGGCCCATATGGACCCGGTCCATACAGAGCCGGATCAGCATACCGACCCGGCCCATACGGACCTAGGCCAGCGCCAAGTCCAGCGTGGGCGCCCAATCCGGCACCAATTCCAATGGTTGGATAACCATAGGCAAGGGCCACCATCACGGCCAGCACCGCCAATACTGACAGACAACGCTGGACAAAGAAAAAACAACTCCCTTATGATATTATCATAACATAATTACTCTCATCATTACAAATTAACGATAAGTGCTCGAAATATAATTTACAAAATAACACACGTTGTAGTTGTTCACTTTACCATGGTTGTAGAAGTTGTGTGGTTGAGGAGTGAAGCCAGAGTGATGTCGAGTGTCGGTGTGCAGGATCTTATATAGGACCGGCGGCTCCTCCTCCTCACGCTAACCTTCACCAGCTCACCTTCCCAACAGCGTCTTGGGTCACAATTGTTATTACAATTAGTGGAGAAACTTACAACACTCCCGTAGTATATGAATGAAGGTGAAGGAAAGACCAAATACAAGTGCATGTTTAATATCAAGCCAAATTTTTGGATGAAACCTATAAACATTGTCCAGTTGCTATTAAACCATGTTGGAACATTCTTTAACCCCCACCTCGATAAAAGATGTTAGTTTCATCCATCGAATTGGTTTAATTTTAAATTTACACTTGTATTGGTCTTTCCTTCAGCTTCATTATTAATAATGCAGTCACGGGGGAATTAAAGATCAGCTAAATACTGCTGATCAAACAGTTTTATAATACTCAACAACCAGCTCACACTTGGGAACATTCTACAACCAACAAGACTGAAGGAAAACCTCCAGCTCATACTGCCCCAGCTGTCATCGAGTGGGTAAAACCTAACTTCACTTCATCCTGTTTGTTAATCTATTCCTTCAGCTAATTTGTTTTCACTTACCCTTTGCCTCCTAAGCTGTTGATAAGCTAAACAAAACCCATGACTTTATGTCAGGTCAAAGAAAATTGTAAAATAAATAGTGGAGAGATAATTATATGTGGATGATCATCAGGATTGGCAGAGTTAAGGAACAAGGTAATGGGATTCTCTGTTCTGTTTGACATCCAGCTGTGGTAAGGTTCTTCTTAATGATGTCATTGACTTCACTGTTTCTCAAGTGCCAGCCCCCCGTTGTCAGGGCAGGCCAAGCAGACCTCGTCTGTCAGTCACCCCCTGATCGTAAATTCAACTTTGTTCGGTGTGGGTTGGGACGGCAAGTCTGAGAGCCGGCGCAGTTTGGAGGACCTGCTACGGGAATGACTGACACTTGCTGACGTGGATGCTGCTAATAGGAAGACGCATAGAGGGACTTCCATGTTTTACAATGGTGATGTGATGTTATTGCAGCATCTTGCAACATTGTAGGTGTTCGGTGAGCAATGAGTCGGTCCCAGGTGGAATGCCTTTGGGCTTTAGTAGGAGTGCTGGAGCTGTGAGAGAAACCCACTTAGTGGTAGATTGAATACAATTAGGATCGTGTACCCCTTCCAATTGGCCTTGTAATCCGGTTGGATTTCCTTCACCAGGGTGTCAAATGCTGCCGAGGAGGACAGGAATGTTGGCACAGAAATCTGGGTTGCTGTGTGAACTCGAGGCTCCCAAGTCATAGGGAAGGGAAGCATGTTTACTCTGTGAGTCATTGAGAGAAAGCTTTAAGGTTTTTTCTAAATGTAATTTTTGCAGTTGGTTGTATTTATCTTGTTTGAGGCTATTGTAGGATTACGAACACTTTACAAAGTGAGTTAACCTTGTTGGGTGAGGAAGGGGGGGGGGAAGTTATGATATGATGAGTTAAAGTGCCCATTCTGTGTCCAGATGATTGTAAAGTGATGATGTCCAGTCTTCTCATCCATCCTCTTTATCACAGTGATCATCTTATCAAGGACTTCGTCAATGGCCATCAACCCAAGAAGAGCTCCTGGGAGTGTGCGGTCCTTACGTTTATTTATTTATTTATTATTTATTTATTTATTTATTTACAAGAAGTTTCATTGGTTTCATGAGATTACAAAATATTGGTATCTTTACATGCTCGCAAAGCTACTAACACGCATAGTGTTTCCATACAACGTTTGGTTATATGGATTTCAGGCAAAACATCCTTTATATAGTACGTTGGTTGGAAGAGGTTATTTCACACTTATAAGAGCTCAAGATGAGGTCTAGATTCGTTCTTTACGTCTGAATTTGTCTGAAAATACTCCAGAATGGAGTCTGAGGAACCGGCTGTGGGACAATCATCCAACAACCAGATGAACAGGTGTCGCTGACTTCTTTAACGATTAAACAGAAAAGAAGAGGAGCAAAAAGGAGGGATCATTCATATTATTGTATTATGATCTTACATAACCATACATTTGCTGGACTTTGAATTTTTTGTAATCTTCTGAATTGGAAAAACACCGTTTTTATCACATAGGAATGTTAGTGACTTATTTAAAAGCGTTAAAAGTACTAGATCGGTTGCATTTGAGCTACGACTTCTCAAGAAGGTATATTAAGCTTTATAATTTTAAACATACTAATGCACACATTATTCATGATATGCCTGTACTACATATGAAAATTGTTACTGTCATAATTACAATTACAAACCAGAATTGTCACAATCCGGAGAGACGATAAAACAGCATCCTTTGTCCTCATCCCGACTGATGAATGTCACCAAACTAAAAGAAATCCTCGAAGACGAGACCAAAATCAAGAAGATAACCAGAAACTCAACTGAAGACATTTAGAAGAAAGTCAGCTAAATAACTGATGTTGTTAATGCTAAAAAGGCAGCATCCACCTGCAGAAGGTCCAGGGTGAATACAACCTTAGGTTGTATTCAACCAGGGTGAATACATTTAGGGTAATGTCAAAACCCACAAACCTGGTAACAATCTATGACCCATAATCAGCCAGATCCCCATACCCATATATAATCTAGCTAAACGACTCAACACTATACTCACTCAATATGTACCAAATAACTACAGCTTGAATATATATATATATATATATATATATATATATATATATATATATATATATATATATATATATATATATATATATATATATATATATATATATATATATATATATATATATATATATATATATATATATATATATATATATTGGTGTATACTGGCAGCAGGTTTTCTTTCAAACATGTTTCATTGAATATGACCTGCAGTATATGGCCGGTTTCATACTGCAGGTATGTTGACGACATTTTTACACAGGTACCTGATGTCAGACATCTGCAGGAGCTGAAGGAGGCATTTGAGCAGAGTTCCGTGCTGCGTTTCACTTACGAGATGGAAAAGGATGGGAAGCTGCCCTTTCTAGATGTAACAGTCATGGAAAAGGGCGGAGGTTTCCACACCGCAGTCTACACTAAGGAAACAAACATAGGAATGTGCTTAAATGCCAACAGCGACTGCCCAGACAGGTACAAGAGGAGTGTTGTTAACGCATATGTCGACCGTGCTCTCAGCCACAGCTCAGAATGGAAGCAAGTCGACGAAGAACTCTGTAGGGTAAGGCAGGTCCTAGTCAATAACGGCTTCTCCAATGGTTTCGTCGAAGACATCATAAGAAGGAAAGTGAAAAGCCATGCAACCTCTGAAGAGACAACTAACACAACACCTATACCCCCTATTAGACTATTTTACAGGAACTTCTTTTCCACAGCTCATAAAACGGAGGAAAGGGTCCTGAAAGATATTGTTAATAGAAACGTTATCCCTACAGACAAAAATCAGAGGATACAACTGACGATTTACTATAAAACCAGAAAAACGGCCAGCCTACTCATGAGAAACTCTCCAGACACAAAACAGAACGCTTTAAAAGAGACTAACGTCGTCTATGCCTTCAAATGACCACTTGGGGACTGTAAGCTCCAAAAAACCCAGTATATAGGCAAGACAACAACATCTCTTTCTAGGCGTTTAACGATGCATAAGCAACAGAGCTCCATTAAGGAACATATAATCTCTTCCCACAACCAAACCATCGCCAGAGAAATCCTAGTAAACAACACAGAAATCATCGATAGATACAGCGATAGCAGGCGGCTTGACGTTTGCGAGGCACTACACATCAAGAAGTCAACACCAGCAATCAACAGCCAATTATTGCACAACTATATTCTACCCACCTCAAGACTCCGCTCCAATATAGAAGCATCAAGAAATATGGACCAATAGGCTTTCTACAAACACTTCTATTCAATATCCATTGTTTCGTGTTCTGTCTTGTGTTGATGAAATTAATACCCTATTAATACCCTTGTTCTGTCTTGTGTTGATGAAATTAATACCCTATTAATACCACATTTTGTTCTGTCTTGTGTTAATGCCACATCACCCCTTCCACCTCACTCAAATGTAGATATAAAATCGGAGATACGTAAGTTCTATTCAGTTGTGTATTTGTGAACTAAAGTCTTTGAAAATGTAATAAGTTTTACGAAACGCGCCCGTGTCGCGTCAGACTAGAAATAAAAATGAATTTTGGAGAATTGATTTTTGATTTACCTCCAACAGTGAAGCGTAATGTACGAAAGATTGAGAAAATTCGTGTTAGAATTTTTAATCTTACTTTTTCGGTCATATTTAATAATATATGTCTACAGGAAAGACTGCTACCAAAATATACTAATATAATATATATATATATATATATATATATATATATATATATATATATATATATATATATATATATGTTTATATATAAAAATAAAATAAAAAAATATATATATATATATATATATATATATATATATATATATATATATATATATATATATATATATATATATATATATATATATATATATATATATATATATATATATATATATATATATATATATATATATATATATATATATATATATATATATATATATATATATATATAAAAAAATATATATATATATATATATATATATATATATATATATATATATATATATATATATATATATATATATATATATATATATATATATATATTTAAACATATATATATATATATATATATATATATATAATATATATATATATATATATATATATATATATATATTAGTGTCGTACCTAGTAGCCAGAACGCACTTCTCAGCCTACAATGCAAGGCCCGATTTGCCTAATAAGCCAAGTTTTCCTGAATTAATATATTTTTTCTAATTTTTTTCTTATGAAATGATAAAGCTACCCATTTCATTATGTATGAGGTTAATCTTTTTTTATTGGAGTTAAAATTAACGTAGATATATGACCGAACCTAACCAACCCTACCTAACCTAACCTAACCTATCTTTATAGGTTAGGTTAGGTTAGGTAACCGAAAAAGTTAGGTTAGGTTAGGTTAGGTAGGTTAGGTTGTCGAAAAACAATTAATTCATGAAAAC